TCGGGTTAATTTTTTTCTGAATTATTTTAAAGTTAGGCCCATATCTTGCATGACTTTACCTAACCTAGGGTTCTAACTTTCTTTCCCTTTTCAGGAAAATTATTCGTCAAGTACATTGGCCCTAATACAAAACATTTACTGGCGCTTCATCTAGACTAAATAATGATGGTGTGACAATGGTGAATTTTACTATATAAAACTGTCATTTTCGGACATCTACAGGTATTATTTCCTTAAAAATGTTTGTACGCATCCCCTACTGCCAAATCCTGTATCCGCCCCTTCCCTAATCTTAATTTTGTCAATAGCCGTCTGTGTTTTAAATTAATAATATTCGCATAATGGTAACTTAAACTTGTCTTTTTGATATAGAGAGAATAGCCTTAGCCTAGAATGTAATCTAAACTTCTGAATAAACTTTTGTTTTTCAATATCACATAGACTTAAACTCATTAAAAAAAAGAGAAATTTTGTCGCAAACAAACTGCTGGGAACTAAAGGTTACCAATAGAGCAACGTAATTGTTTCACCTGTTTAGGTCACAGTAATTCTTGTTTCTACTAACTTTTATCAATTGAAACTCGTAGCATTCAAATACAAACCTATCACAATTTAACATTATATGTAACCTAAATCTAATAACGGTCATTAAACAATATATTCTAAGTGGTAGTCACCCCAATTCTGAGATAACAGCGACACTTAGTGTACTGTTTCCACCTTCTCCAATAAAATATTATTATCTTCTGTAAATTGTGCTAATCTTTTCTGGATTGTTCTTGTCCCCTTTCTTAAAAACAACCATTAGGATTGTAGCCAATTGTTTAGAAAATTTACCTAGGTTAAACATAGCATTGAAATAAATTTTCCAAAATATCAAAGAATGAAATTAGGTACGTTCAATAAAAATTCTAAAATTCCGTCAATCCCCGGAGCCTTACCGGTCTATTGAGAATCAAATGCTCCTTTATTTTCATCTAGAGTAACGTTTAACGTGTCATTGTCATCATCATATTCGATATTCAGCTCATTACAGTGTTAGACTCCTCATGTTGAAAGAGTCTTAAAATGTTCGTAGCATTGGCGAATAGAAATGTGACGGATTAAATTTTTCTTTTTTGTTTCAAATTCATCCAGAATATTTTGTTATTTGTCTAGTGCATCAACAATCTTGTGACACTTTTTTTCTGCATTAGTAACGTTTTGTATTGTTTCTTTATTCTTATATGTGTATCCATCGAATTTTGTGTATGCATAAGTTTAAATTTCTGTAGATTTTTCTTAACCTGTGTTTTGTGGTTTATAGACCCATCCGTTTCAATGGCGTAATTATTGAGGGTTTACCTTCCCGTGTGTATTTGATTCCTTTACTGTCAACATTGTTTTCACTAAGGGTATTTATAAATTCAAGATCAATATTTTCAATGATATTATGCGTCCATCGTGTTAGGGCTGCAGTATGGTATTTGTTTTGCGACAATCACATTCACTAAGGCAGGGATTCGAAGGATAGCACACTTGATTCAGATGATAAATATTAAAAATGAAATGTACTAAACTTAATGTAGGTTGAAGACAACAGAAATCAATGTAAAAAGCATGCTATAGCGATCCATAGTTGTAACAAGTATTATCAACAATAGGTATATGCAGCTGTCTATTATACAGACCTATACGTAACACAAAACAACATTCGGGTCAATTGCTTACCTCAATAGCAATTCACTGTTTTAGTAACATCTGATAAAATGAAAAAAACTCATTCAAAATGATCAAATATCTTGTTAAGTTCTAATGAGACAAATTGAAACCATTCATTTCTAATAATTGACAAGAAACTATACCATACGAAAATACTTTATTTCACTACCAGCAAATCCATTTGTCCAAACAAAAATAAACTAATTATCTACGACGAGACTGTTAATTAACAAGATAAATATTTGCAGGTTTTATTTAACAAGTGAAAGCAGCAGTAAAATGTAAATTGCAATTGTAAATACTTTAATTTTGCGTTAATTAGTATCTGAACAAAAAAACCTCCATGGAATTAAATTAGTACTAAAGAACTCGTGTCTTGGAAGTCAAGAGTTGGTTAGTAGACAATGCAATGTTTATTTAACAGACACAAAAATGAGTTCTATTCACGAGGTAAACTTACACATTACTGTATATACATTATTGTTTGTAATAATAATCAATTCAGGCTAAGTAAACTGTAAAACACCTAAAGCTCAGTCCAAACTATCAAATTTTATTTGACAAAAAACTGTTGTATGTCCGTATATAGTCATGATGTGCCTTTTATTATGATGTGCCTTTTATCTATTTAAATACAACGGTGATATTTATATATAAACTGCATAGGCCTATACCTGTGTCGAATGAGTGGGGAAAGGTGGTGATCATGTACATTGTTGAATGGGGAAGTTGAGGAGGCAATCGTTCTAGATGTTATGGTTACCAAATAAGAAAGTACTGTATAATACATACTCCAAGTATTGAAATACACGCCATCGTGTTTCAATACTTGGAGTATGTATTATACTTTCTTATCTGAGATTAATCAGTGGATCTTTCGGTTTATGGTTACCATGTCATTACTTTTTCTGAAGGACGTCTTTGTAGTTAATGTTTTGAGTCTCTTTGCTGCACACTGTAGTCCTTGTGAGGAATTATTGTGCAGTGTGATCAAGGGTGGATCGAAAATGTTTCAAACAGGGGGGTGGGGGGAACGCACAACAGTTTTAGAATAATTGAATAAGCGAATAGCACATATATTGCCTTTGAAATTTTTGAAAAATTTGTGTCAAAACGGAGCGGGAGCCCTTCCCAGTGACGTCCCTCTCCCCTACTGGATCTTCCCCTGTTGCTTTAGGCTACCCTCTTGTAAGTGAAAGTACAGCAATATACAGTAGGCCTAGCCTAGTTAGGCATGAGATGAGTGTTTGTCTTGAATCAAGGTGGATGCATGTAAGGCTTATCCGAACTACTGACATTCAAAAGAACCCGTAAACATTGTCCCGACGTGTTTACGTAATCCAAGGTATTGATTGGTGGAGCTGCCTTGACCCTATCTATCTTAATGCACTATCCAAATCGACCCGGATTCGAAAGATAGAGGATAGGCCCTAGGGCCTAGGTATGCTAACTACACCTGAGCCTAGGCCCCTAGGTCTAGGCCTATCTCTGGTCGACATCATTGGCTAGGCTAGGCCGCGCCTAGGGCTGTCCCTAATAATATGGACTAGGCCTGTGTAGGGCTAGCCGGTATGGTTAGGCCGAGGTCATGGCTTGTGCCCAGGTATATTTTTATTTTTACCTGATTTTGATCGACTTCTAAAACATGCCATTTGTTGTTGATGTTTTGTGCCATAAAACTACAATATATCCAGTATCATGCAATGGGTACTCGAAGAGGTACATGAGAAGTAGGCCCTTACTGGGCGGTGAGCGGCGGTGACGTAATGAGTGCGAAACATAGACTGGTTCTTTTACGGCCTGACTCGATAATTTTCATACCTAAGCATTGCAGTACAGAATAGATGCGATCAATTGTATTTACGTGACGTAAGTAACTTGCGAAACATGGCAAAACAGGATTTTCGGTGGTTTTTTCGTTGTTATCCAACATCCAGCCTTAAAAAGTAGCGGGATGTGGTCGTGACATAGAATGCCCCAGTGTATTAGATATGAGCACATTTCTGCCATCGGTTTCAGAGGAGATAGGGGAAGTTACGCGGTGGCGATTAGCAGAATTAATATATAGATACCATTCAAATTTACTACCTAAAATTTTCAATACATTATGTACGGTACACGTGAATCTGTATACGATCACAATACCAGAAACAAAAGTAACCTATCTCCTAACTTTGAAAGAACTAAAACGGATCAAAAAAGTATAAATTTCCATAGAACAATCTTTCAAATTTTCTAAAGAATGCTCGTAGTTTAAGTACAGTATTTTTAAACAATTTTATTATTTTTTTACTGTACTTGCGTATCAATGGCTTATTTATCATAATTCAACTACGAAATTAATCTCCCGGCGCCGAAACCTAGACTTAAAAATACCGGAATGGTATCCGGCTGGGGATAGTTTTACCTTTAGATGATTAGAAGATTTAATTTAGATTACTTACAGTTTGACATTTTACTTGTACGAGTAATTCCCGCCCAGAAATCGTGCACGACGGGGGATCGTTTTACCTCTAGAGTTTTTTTTATTAAGATTAATTTTTTTTTATGCTGTTAAGAATTAATCATCTCATCATTTAAAAGGGTTAAATGTTGAATATAATTCCTCAAATCTCATTTTTATACATCGTTATAGGGATATTTAATTTTTTCTATTGTAATCACACATAATAATGATGACATTACATCATGATTGTATGTAGGCATGTTAAATAGTCTGGACATAGCTTTAGAAAGAAATTATACCAACATAC